GGTAGAACCTAAGACGCGCGTGACTATCAGTTATCGCGCTCTACTGTCTGCTTCGAGATGACTCGTCCTAGGAGTGCTGCGCACGGTTGTCGTCATGTGACCTGATATGTGTGTATATATAAGGGTGTGGCAATAAACGGGGTACTTCTTGGTCTGGGCTCCAAGTTGGAAGTCTTGCCTTCATCCCGGAGCAAACGCATATAAACGCGAACAGAGAGGCACAGTCGTGTCAGCACGAACACACACATACTCGTGCAGCCACAAGCACGCACGCACGTATGCACAGACGCACGAGCACACAGACACACCCGCGCGTCAGAATGCATGCACAAACGCATGCACCCACAAACACTTCCGTGCACCCGCATGCGCGCGTACGTTGGCATGCATCCAGAGGTATGCACGCCCACATAGTTTAGCGCACACACAGAGGCACACCTGCGCGCACTCACAGGAACACCCAAACGGCCGCTCGCGCGGGTATATACATGTGCACCCACAGGCACCTACGCACGCACATATATTCACGCACACAGAGGCACGCACGCACATATACACGCACACCCACAGGCACGTAAGCACACGCATATACTCTCACACACACAGGAACACCCGCGCGGCCGCATGCATGCATGCATACACGTGAACCCAGAAGTACACGCGCACGCGTAGTTTAGCGCGCAAACAGAGGCCCACCTGAGCGCACGCACGCACACAGGCACACCCGTGCACCCCTCGCACGCAGACATACAGGTGCACCCACGGGCACACATGCACGGATACACACGCACAAAGAGGCACACTGGTGCGCCCTTACAGACGCACACATGCACGTTCGCCCACAGGCACGTACGTACTCACACATACTTGCATAGACACAGGCACACCCGTACTGCCATATTCACGCGCACATACATGGGCAACCACATGCATGCACGAATGCACATGTAAACGCGAGCACAGAGGCATACTCGTGCAGCCACAGGCACGCACGCACACATACTCGTGCAGCCACAGGCACGCACGCACACATACACGCGCACACGCAGCAACAACTGTCCGCACGCACGCACGCACATACACGTACCCACAGGCACGTACGTGCACGTACACGCGCACACGCGGGCGCAGCCGTCCATTCGCACGCACGCACAGATACCGTTATGATGAAAATAATCCCTGGAGAAGGGGAACAAGAGGGACAAAGGACAAACACAAATCTCCAAACACAGCTAGGTGACTGGTGCGCGACCGAAAAAATCCGCCTGGTCCGGGTATCGAACCCGGGACCTCTCCATTACAGGTGGAGCGCTCTACCAACTGAGCTAACCAGGGGTTAGACGTCAGTAGAGCAAACGGGTTTTATCAGCCGCCACCAGTCTAACACCAACAAGGGTGAAGCTTGCAATTTAAGGTTATGATTATAATGCAATTAAATGCAAAGGTGCAAGCGAGCTGGACAGTAATGATGAAAATAATCCCTGGAGAAGGGGAACAAGAGGGACAAAGGACAAACACAAATCTCCAAACACAGCTAGGTTCGATACCCGGACTAGGCGGATTTTTTCGGTCGCGCACCAGTCACCTAGCTGTGTTTGGAGATTTGTGTTTGTCCTTTGTCCCTCTTGTTCCCCATCTCCAGGGATTATTTTCATCATTACTGTCCAGCTCGCTTGCACCTTTGCATTTAATTGCATTATACACATACCGTGCAACCACAGGCACGTACGCACGCACACATACATGCACAAACACAGGCACAACCGTACGCGTGAACGCACGCACACATACACGAGCACCCACAGGTACACCCGTGAACCCTCATGCACGCGTACATACGCATGCATCCAGAGGTACGCACGCACGCATAGTTTAGCGCAGACACACGTGTGCGTGCACCGCTCGCAGGAACACATATACAAAAACCCACAAGTACGCATGGACGCATGTTTACACGCACACACGCAGACACACCCGTCCACCCGCACGCAAGCACACATACACGTGCACCCACCGCCACGTAAGTCGCACATATACTCACGCACACACAGGCACACCCGTGCGGTCGCATGCACGCAAACATAGACGTGCACCCACAGGCATGCATGCACATATACGTTTGCGCACACACAGGCACATCTGGGTGCACGCAAGCATACACGCTCACACATAGGCACACCCGTGCACACACGTACTCATACACGTGCATTCACAGGCACACCCGTTCGCCCGTATGCACGCATACATACACGTGCACCCGCAGGCACGCATGCACGCATAGATACACGCGCACACATAGGCACAATCGTGCGCCCGCACGCACGCAGATACACGTACACACACAGTCATGCACACACGAACACATACGCTGGTACGCTAAGGTACACCCGTGCGCTCGCACGCACAGACAAACACACGAACTTGGAGACACGTACGTACGCACACATACTTGTGTACACGCATGCACACCGGTGCACACAAACACACATGTGCCCAAACAAACACGCGCACGGCCTCATGCCCGCATGCAAGAATGAGGAAGCGCGCTTGACATAAACGCGAGCGCGTATTTGGACAACGCACACCTGTGCACATAGAAGGCACATACAATGAACACACAACGCACCCAAGTATTGACATGCACACATATGCACACGAACGCATGCGCCGGCGTGACACACGCACGGACACATGTCCGGCGCAAGCACGCACATACGCAAGAATTGCATTGGAAATCACTCGAAACGATAGTGAAGCTACCACGTGTATCTTCGGTTTCTTCTCTTGAGCACCAACTCCGTGGCGCCACCTATCTTAAGTAATATTCTTGATGCAAAGGGGTAGGCCGTAGCCAAAACCAGGCAAGGTCAATGCACCGTTCATACTCACAACTGACGCCGTCTCTTGAGATTCGCAACTCTGGTCTCGGACGTTTTGACGTACTTAAAGGTGACATCTTATCTCCAACATCCTTTTAGAGCAATCAGAACCTGTCCGCGAAGCTGATAAGTGATAATCAATCTATATACTCCGTTTCACGGTAACTTGGCAAACAGTGAGGGGTACGCTTTCCACGACCGAATAAGAGCATCGGAGCGCGGCGCTTTAAATCACATCACCGGAGCGTTTGTCTCCCTATACCAAATGCGACTGCCGGAGGAACCGTCTGTCGTCTGCTGGGAAAAAGTTGTCTGCTGCGAAACCAACCAAGTTTGGATAACTTTCCACCGCCGCATCATTGCCGTCTGTTAAAGGGATATTACAACGAAATTTTGGTGCTCATTATTTGGTCTGTATGTGTTCAAAGGAGCAGTATCACATCGTACATACCGATATCTTGTTAAAAAATTCACGAAAAGGAATTTTAAAACGAATTAAACGATTAGCAAGGAGCACCTGGTGGATGTCGCTAACGCCTCGCTTGTAATGCCCGTCTAGGAACCTTGACAGCTAGTGACGAAGGTTGTCTCGCCTCCGGCCACGACGAGAGAAGAGGGGCAGGAGGGACTCCCCTCTTCCCGAGAATGCCTTTTTTGTGTCGCAAAAGTCGCTATTGACCCCCTACAAGGTTACAGAAGATTATCCCGTCACTCAAAATTCGTACAAAAGCACCCGCTTCGGTGGCTGGAACAACTAGGCCATCCTCTCGACGTCAGCCTCGCCGCAGCTTTGCTCGTCCTGAGACGACCTACGTCACGATTGCGTTGGATGTCACGTGGTCTCCGCTGTGCCTTCTCCGAGCGCTTGCCAGTGTGGGACGTTTATAACGAAAAATACAGCCACCAGGCTCAAAATACGAACGTGCGATTGTCATTTACGGATATTGTGGATCATATTCAACATATTTTTGAACACGACGGGAATATTTCGAATTTCGTTGAAGTATCCCTTTAAAGTAAAGAGCTCCTCGGGAACACTTCATGATATCATCATACGCTCCTTTTATCCGCTTACTGTGGTGGGTGCCAATGCAGCGACGTTTTATGTGGAAGCGGTTGATCACAGGGCGCTAAAATATCGTTCAAAAGCCACGTTGCTTTCGGAAAGGGGTCGATCCACACTAAGTATCGTTGAAAAGTAACATGTCTTCGTATTTCTTCCGTGTCGTGTAGCGTAGTGTCGATATAGATGGAATTGCGTGATTTCAATTGCCGTTAAAAAAAAGAAGCCACTACTTTTTGACGCGGACGGCGCTGTTACTGTGCCAGTAACGAGGCCTCGACATAGCGACCCTTAATCTAGGGGACAAAAAATGAAAGCCGTTTACAAATCCCTGTAACGCCGAATTGGAGCGCAGCTCTTGAGGAGGAGTAGGGAAGGGTACAGAGGGGGGTCACGTCACCTGCGGGTAGTCACGTGACCCCGGGGGTCACGTCATCTCGGGGGAGGGGGGGTCACGTGACCTCGAGGGGGGGGAGGGGGGTCACGTGACCTCGGGGGGGGGGGAGGGGGTCACATGACCTTGGGGGGGACGGAAGGAAGAAGAAGCGCCGGGGCGAGGAGCTTATGCTCTTTTGCTCCTGTGCTTATGTCCGAATCCGAGCCGAATTTGGACATGAGGTTGGCTAGAACACCATTCTGAAGGCTAACGACGTCCCTTCTAGCAGGTAAGAACCCACAGTGAGTCCCGAAGTCGGTATTTCGCATGTGTTTTCGACCGCCGGCGAATGTGCTTCGGAGCTAGGGCTAACTCTGGAGCTGGCCAAAGGCGAAGGGCTCCGAAGAGAGCGACATGGCTGAGATCTCGCAACCGTCTTAGCCCCAGTCTTCGAGCGATAGCGATCTCGAGATGAACATCGTTGGGCAAGCTCCTGCGACCGGCCAAATCGAAGCGATTGCTACGTTTACAGAAGCTGAAGCTTTCATCCAGTCACCGCAACGAATTCATGGAAAGCGAAAAACGAAAAGGGACCCACTGATATTTTTGGATCCCGCAATCAAACGGACCCGCCACCCTAGTAGTTCTAGTACCGGTACGAACTCCTCCGAAGTGAAGGAAGATGACGACCGCGGAATTACTGACACAAATTCTGATCGAACGGACGCCGACGCAGACTCGGACACCGGCTTCTCAATGGCTGAGATATCGTCCACAGAGACTCTCACCGAGGGTCCTCTTTCGACCTTCAAAGAATCAGTACATGCAGAAGACTATCCAGGCTCCGAATGGAACAAGGTGACATATGTTAAAAAAAGACGCATAGACAAGGCGAGCATATTGTATCCCTGGGAGGACCTACCTTGTTATACACACGACTCAGGGGTACCGATGAGGAAGCCAGGCCGTGCCACGTAATTGTTTTTCGGTCGAAGGAACCTTATGATCTTACGACCATTTCGAAGGGCTTACTGCAGAGAACTTTAAGTCAAATAACCGGCTTAATCAATGAAGAACTTACGTTCAGGCTGAATAGGGACACCAACACAATCTCAGTCATGGTACATTCGAGAGACGCCGCAGAAAAGCTTTTGGCGCTGCACTCTCTCACCGCAGAGGATAGAGCCGTATCGGTGGTGACCCACGAGATGGTGACCCACGAGATTCCCCCAAAGGACACAGTACGCGGCGTGGCGCACGGCATTGACTGCGGAGAGACCTCGGACACTTTAGGGAGTGCTCTACGGTCCAAAACACACGAGGTCCTATACGCCAGACTTCTCGGCAAAAACGGGCTGGCCATAGTGACATTCCGCGGAACCAATGTGCCAAACTCTATCGTATACAGAGGGAGCATCATAAGAGTCACGCCGTATGTGTCTCACACAGTGCAGTGCTCTAGATGCCAAGGCCTAGGACACAAGCAACACGTGTGCACCCGCGTGCTGAGATGCCCCGATTGCGGGTGGCTGAAGCAGGAACACCACGTGTGCGGACGCAAGTATTGTATCAACTGCCGATCCCACGGCAACCACCTTGCGACCGATCCCAAGTGCCCCACCAAGCTGCGGGTGGACCGAAGACTTCAAGACAGAGGCCACGCAAACGGTAACCAGGCAACTCGAGACAACGATAGATGCCGTAACCCCTCGGGAGGCCGCGGCAGGAGCAGGCCTCGTAGCCCGCCCGATGTCACGCTAAAAGACTACCCTCAAGTAATAGCTACACACAACAGATATGCCGCGCTCGGCACGTTTTCTGACGGGAAAGAAGAGAACGAGATACTGAAAAACAAACCGAGAGTTACAAGTAAGAGCACAACAAGGCGTGATGTACCAGTGTCACGCCAACTCTTGAACAACGCGAATCGGCGAGACGAGGCCGCGGAATTCCAAAAGCGCCAACCTAAGACGCCGAGACCGCAGCAACAAGCTGGAACGTATGCCCAAGCGGTGCACAAAATGCTCAAGACAGTTTATTATGCGGACAGTGACACTGAGGCGCAGGCCTGGATGGAAGAACTGCGGTCTATCGGCGAAGCCCGCAAGAAAAGTGCGAAATGAATTCAAGATCTTGAAGTTCACGCAAAGAAAATGGCAAATAAGCACGATCAAATTCGGATGAACCAAATAGAAGCAGAGAAGCGCCGAGCACTCAGGGAAACCGAACTTCAAAGGCGCCTCAAAGATAAAGAAGCAGTCAGGAAATTGCAGCAATGTGCATCACATCAACAACAACCCACGACCCGCGATGTGCAGCAATCATGCAAAGCAGTATTGGTTTCCCAATCCACTCGACCTGAACAACCAGCCACCTCCGTCGTCACTACGACGGCAACACAGGAATATCTTCATGACGCACTCGCCCAAATGCAACAGCAATTGCAGCAGCAGCAGCAACAAATGCAGCAACAGATGCAACAACAAATGCAGCAACAGCTACAACAATTCCAACAGATGCTGGCGGCGACCCATGCGGAGCACTCTGCAATGTTCATGGTCGTCCCGCAAACTCCGCCGATCCAGGTCCAAAACCGCAATGGCTTCCAGACTCCTGAATAACGCTCCGTTCCGGATCCTGCAGTGGAACTGTCTTGGGCTAGCAACAAGAAAGGCCGAATTTCTTACGCGCCTGTCAGATCCACAATATACCTGTGACGTTCTTTTACTGCAGGAATCTCGCGCCAAAAGCATTACATTGTCAGGTTTTGAAGGGCACCACAACCCTACGATAGAATACGCGGGGCGTTCACGCCGAACTTCCCTTACTAGTGCTCAGGCCAGTATATATGTCCGTCATGGTGTTTCGCATATCAAGATAGACACGATTAACTGGTGTACCACCACGCAGGAGGTAGTCGCGGTCCGCGTCGCTCTCGACGGAACCACTAAACGCCTCTTGATTGTCTCCACATACGTTCGGCCCCTCCACGCAGCTCACGATTTTCCATGGATCAAAGCGCTCCGCGATAAGTATCCCTCTGACTATGTGATATTTGGAGGAGACTTCAACGCTCGCTTTGAATCGTGGAGTTCTGCGGCACATACCCCGCGCGCACAGGACTTGTGCACTGTCCTCGAACTAACCGACCTAACGATCGTCAATAATCTAGATTGCGCGACGCGTTATGGCACATCGGCACGCCAATCGGACAGTGTAATAGATCTCACTTTCGCACCCGCGTCGACCGCCCACCTTCTCGCGTTGACTGTGCTTCCCGACGCGTGGGGAAGTGACCATTTCCCCATAGTGCTCGAACTATATGCAGGCAAACGCAAAATGATCAAGCGACTTACGAAGACAATAAAATGGGATCAGTCCCGTGCCTTTATAGAGGAGCACATTGAAGATATCAACCCTGCTAACATTTCGGCCTTTCTCACGACGGCTACAAAGTCTGCGACTGACTTCCGCCAGGTGGATAGGAATACACCCACCCCGGACACGCATCTACTATCGCTGTGGGATCGTCGCACGGCTGCGCTTACCAAGTACCGGAGGCACAAGCGGCGCTGCTATCTGAAACGTGTAACCCTCCTAACCAAGGAAGCTAGCACATACACCCAGACCCTCAGCCTCACACGCTGGTTTGCCCATTGCGAGTCCTTCGACAGGACTACGAAGCTCGGCGAGGTGTGGCGAACTTTTAACGCTATGTATGGCAAGCGCAAGTCGTGTAGCCCTGTCCCTCTTCTGACCCTGCTTTCGACAGACACCGAGGAAGATATCCTGGATCAGCTTGGCTCGGCATTCTTCCCGCAACCTGACGATCTCCCATCCCCCGATGTATATAGACCCGTGTATGCAGACATTGTGGACACGGAAAACCCTGGGAACCAGCCATTCACTGAGTGGGAACTTGATGCGGCAATCGCCCAGTGCAAACTTAAAAGTGCCTCCGGCCCCATGGAGTTACAGCCCCGATGCTTCGTAATGCGCCTCGTGCCGCAAGGGAAGGTATCCTTCACTGGTTCAACTCCATCTGGCACACGGGTCACCTCCCTGAGGATTGGAAGATGTCATGGGTTACCCCCATCCCCAAACCCGGCAAAAAACCGACCGACCCGAAAAACCTGCGTCCAATTTCCCTTACATCTATAATGGGAAAGTTGATGGAACGAATGGTACTTGCACGCATTCAGTGGCAAGCAGAAAACCTCAGGATCTTTCATCCCACAAAAACGGGGTTCCGTAAGAATTTGAGTACCCACGATAGTCTGGCTATCATTTACCATGATGTCGCTGACTGGCACCCCAACAGCCAGCAGCTCCGGGTCGAGGTCACGGTGGACATCAAGAAGGCCTTTGACACGGTCCCACACGAAGCCGTTGTCTCCTCGATGTACGAGCAGGGCCTAGATGGGAAACAACTAGATTTTGTCCGGTCATTTTTGGCCGGCCGCCGATACCTCGTCAAGTCGGGCTACGGCCCTGACGCGCGGAGCAGTACTACCAAGGAGAACAACATTGGAGTCCCTCAAGGAGCAGTATTGTCACCGACGTTATTTAACATTGTCATGGCGCCGCTGCTCTGGGCCCTCCGTCGTATTCCCAACCTACGAGCTACTGCCTACGCCGACGATATTACCATCTGGACATGCCAAGGCTCGTTTTTGACGCAAAAGACAGCGTTGCAAGCGGGTCTAGATGCCATCCACTCCCACCTTCGCCGCGTCGGCATGTTTCCGTCCCCGGAAAAAACAAAGTACATGCTGTACGGCCGTGGGCATTCTACCCTGGACTTGGGCCTCACTTTTGACGGTAGTCACATAAGCAAAGAACCTTTCATAAAGATCCTTGGAGTGAATTTTGGGTACAGCTCTCAAGTAGCAGCCGAATGGGTTAAATCTATTTCGCGGCAATGGAGACACGGCCTACACCTCGTCCGTCGCATCTCCCATCGTCTGGGCGGCGCGGGAGAACGTATCGCCAAGCTTCTAGTCACGTCCGTCCTTGCTTCGAAGGTGGCCTATGCAGCGCGTTTCTACTCCCTCAAACGAGTCCATTTCGACAAGACTGCAACGCTGTGTAACGAGGCCCGCCGAACCATCCTCGGGCTCCCTCGACACAAACGAACGTCAGAGCTTCGCAAGTGCCTGCACCTCGTCGACCTTCGAGAGACACTAGAGCAGCAACTCGGCATCCACATGGCCCGACTTGAGCATACGCTCCAGGGGAGGGCAGTTGCTCGTTTCATTGGAGTAGCTGTAACGAACATAAACGACCTGCCGCCAACCAAGCCTCCATGGGATCTTATTGGTCTCACGCAACATGCCCGGCCTGTCCCGCGAAATATGGATGCCAAGCGCCACGCCAAGCGTCGGGAGCATTATGCTCGTCAACAGCAAGCCGAGGTCACCGCATTATCTCAGGACCCTGCACAGGTCATCGTGTATACGGATGCTGCCTTGCACACCTCCGGTTGGTCTGCGACAGCTGCGGTGTTCCCGTCCCATGATCCTGCACAGTGCGATCCTATCGTTGTTGCAAACACCAACATGACCCCTTCATCGCCCGAACAAGCCGAAGCCCGCGGCGTCCTCCTCGCCCTCCAGACGTATGAGGTCAGGAATCCAGGGCCCGGCACGCTTACGGTGTTCACAGACTCTCAGAGCACGATTCGCGCGCTTAAAACGCATCTACTCACATCAAGTCCGACAATTGCCGCTATTTACGACACTGCACTTCGCCTGTACCGCCATCGAAGAGTCCGAGTCAGCATACGCTGGGTTCCAGGACATGCGGGAATTGACGGCAACGAGAAGGCCCACAAGGCTGCATTGGAGGAGCTGCATAGAAATTTCCCCTCCCAGCGGACCTTACCGGTGCCTCCCGCGTCGCCCAACGATGACCAGTTTCCCGAAGACGAGGCCTACGTCTACGGCTTAGTCGATGCTGTTCGCCTCGTCCGTCGGGACTGGAAACGCCGACTCGACGCCTCTTGGACCCCAGAACAGTTTCCAATACCCGAAAACACCTTCCGTAGGCACCAGATGGTCCTGCTTCGACGCATTAGGACAGGTGGAGCGGTCACGCCTCATCATGTCTATCGCTTCGAGCTGACCCGGCAACGTAAACTTGACCCGTACTATGTCCCACAAGACCCTCGCTGCCAGCGATGCAAAGACCGAGATGCCCTCCCGAAACTTCACCATCTCATTTGGGAGTGCGCAGCTCTGGTTGCCCAGCGTCAAGGAGCCTGGGCTACTCTTCTTCCTGAAGACCTTCCGACGACCATGAAAGAATAGGCGTATCCTGCCGGCGACTCCGAGCGCCGGACGAGGGTCCTGGCTTCCCTCCTCGACTTTGTGTGGCGGAGCGGACTTGGGCCCTCGTTATAATGAAACACATCATCATTTCACGCCGCCAAGGACGTAGACGCCACGCTTGAGAGCGACCACGCCGCGTCGGTCCCTTGGGCCGGGGTCGCGCTGCTCATTCATCGTGCGGGGGATGGCCTGCGGACGCGAGTCGCTGCGGCGTTCGTGGTTCGGGTGGCGCGTGCCGAGTTTCTCTTTGAACGTGTTGCCCCGCGCCATTCGGGGCACGGATTTCGCGGTGGATCGCGCCCAAATATGTCTGGGGGCTGTCTTTTGTGTGGTGTCGGACCAGCGTGGCCCCCGCTTTGGGGACTGGCGTTTGTCCTTGGTTTAAATAAACGTTGTTCTCACCTCTCACCTCACCTTGGGGGGTCACGTGACCTCGGGGGTGTCACGTGACCTCGGGGGTGTCACGTGACCTCGGGGCCCTATTGAAAAAGGCCAATATGAACTCGGCTTATTGGAAATATTGTATTCCAATGAAGATGATGGAAACCAATAAAAACTTATTGTTATCCGATTAACCCAATACGCACGATGGGAATTCATATCGGAGCACAATATCTCGATATAGTATGCGGTTATTGGTATACAACAGGATATTGGAGCACAATATCGCGATATAACTTGCGGTTATTGGTATACAACACGATATCGGAGCACAATACCCCGATATACTACACGGTTATTGGAATAGAATACGACATCGCGTGCATATTGGTGACCGACACGGACATACTGTA